CTGAGCTGTTGATGCACTCGTTCGTACCAGGACCCTGAAACTGTAGCAGCTAAATGGTATTCAGCCAGCATTCATTTCATAATTTGCACCGTTGGTTTTCCTACCGCGACATACTTTTCATCATTGTTGCTTGCTGTCAACATGCTACAACATGGTGTTGAATATCATTACATGATGATGAGGGGGAACCCTGGTTCTGTCTGTGATGTTGGACCGGTCTTATGAGTGTAACCTATGTTGCTGTCTGTTGTGTTCCTCTCCACCTTTACCTACCTTTACCTTGGCAGCAGGTCCCTTCTGTATGTCTGCAGGCGACTTGATGGCACAGCTCAGGTAGCACGATCTTATCAAGTGATTCACAAATCCTGCGTGGTCATTCCTCAGCGATCTGCCTCACAACAACCTAACTGTTTGTTTTGACTGAAAGTGGGTCTGTCATCTGTGTGTGTCTGTGTGTGTGTTACAGTGTGTGTGTGTGTGTGTGTGTGTGTGTGTGTTGGAAATAGAGAGAGTGAGAGCGAAACTGCAGGAGTATTTTAAAGCTTTACAGGCAGAAATAATATGGACTATGATGAACATCCCAGTGATCCCTTGGAGAGGCATAAAAGGAAGGCCAGCTGATCACAGTTACCTGTCTCTGTTTCTGCTGAATATTATATCAGTATATACTCAGTCTTATCTCACCTGTTTGTTATTCTGTCCAGACTAACCTGTTCAAAACAGGTGCGTCATCCTACTGAAAGAGGAGAGAGGTTATTGAAATATGCTTTGTCATATAGTAAAGGTGGTTGATCCAGTTACTTTGTGTATTATAATCCAGTTAAGATCTCCATGTTTGGGTATATGAGTAAAGTAATATCATAATAAACTTATTTATTATGTTTTACTAACTTACCTGTGTGCAAAATAAAGGATTTTATGAACCCTAACAAGGTGTTGTTCTTGCTTTAGATGTGGTAGCTGCAAAAAGAATACTTAACTATTAATAAATTAATCTTAATAAAACAACAAAATATGATTTAACAATTAAATGATAGTCAGTTAATTACACTCACTAAATCTGATTGTAATGCTATTATAAATTATAATAAGAAACTTTTAGTGACCTTCCATACTGTCTATAAACTGTTAACAAGTGTCTTATAAGTGTTGATGAACTTCTTATAATTTAACGATAAATGTGTTTATGACGCTGTTATCAATACTTATAAAGTCCTATTAACACATCCTGATTTTAATAAGCATCGATGCTTACTACAAGGACCTTAATATAAAGCTTTACCCAAACTAAAAACTTTCCCAAAAGCAGTTTTTCTTTATGTTGTTGGTTTTGTGCAATATTTTGTTCTGTATAATCAACAAATAATTAAATATAATATATTTTTTTTCTTTCTACTTTTACCTATGTACAAGATATGGATACTTCTTCCACCACTGCCTAGTTTGAATTTATGAACATGCACTTTTTAAAATGTTATTTCATTGTAAATTTAAAACGTGAAAGGACACTAGGTGGCTCCTACTTGTGTATTTACCTTTAAGAATTTGGGCGGCAGGATATTTGACCTGACAACCGCTGGGTAATCAGGTCAAATGACTCCACTGGCCGCGGGCGCCATCTTGTGGATATGCCACGAACTACATTTCCTAAAGCTTTACGTAATCAGTGGCGGCTGGTGGAACATGTTGTAGGTAGGGCTGTGCCACATCCAATCAATTTCAGCAAACATCCCAGAATGATTTAATGCAAAAAAAATTAAGGTATCAAACACGCATTACTACTTTACAGTTAAATATATAACATTTATTCCAACATGAAAAAAAGCAGTAAATAACACTTTGACAAACACATCAGGACATCTTATTTTTGTCCTCCTCACAAGCAATTCAGTATAATATAATAATATATATATCATATAATAATATTCAGTATAATATATTAATATATATATATCATATAATAATATTCAGTATAATAAAATAATATATATATATCATATAATAATATTCTGTATAATATAATAATATATATATATTATATAATAATATTCTGTATAATATAATAATATGTATATATCATATAATAACATTCATTGTAATATGAAACACACGGACATATATATATATAATTATTTATAACATAACTATATATCCATTTCTCAGACAGGTGCTTCTTATCCCTTAGACCGCTGTGCTCGTTGAAAATAACATGGAGTCTGGCGTAATAGTCTGCTACAGTTTCACCAGGCTTTTGTTTGCATGATGTTATTTTTGTCATGTTGATTCTCGGCGGGAAAGCAATTGTGAAAGCTGTAACCAGTAGGTAATCATGTCTCTATATGCATCGTTGTCAGCGTGATCCCAGATGGTTTGTACCTGTCTGGCATTTCCTTGACAGGTTGCTCGAACCTTGGCATAGTTGGCTGGGCAAAGTTTCTTCACGAGGAGGCGTCTGAGTTCTCCTTCAGTGGGGCTAAACTCACGGCAGAATACGATACGTTCATCACCAAACTTTGTGCCTGATACTTGGGGGTCTGGCAGATGTGCCAGGGTGTCGGTCATGTCTCTGTCAGTCCAGGGTCTGTGGACCATCATTGCTCCATTTGGACCTGCTACTTGAACCATCGGGAATGAGAGTTCAAGTCTTTCCTCGTCGTCGTCTGTTCTTGGTCCTCGTCCACTTCTGGTGTCACATGAGTGGTTATAGGAGCCTCTCACTGCGTCTCCAGTTGTTCCCAGGTCCTCATGTGACTTGTCTGGGCTGCCTAGTCAGGACATGGCGTGTGCGGCCTGCTGCATGAGGTTGGCGACGGAGGAGATCGTGCTCGTGAGGTTGCTGGCAGGTGGGCTGGTTGGAGATGGGTGGAAGTCAGGCTGTCTTGGTGTGGGCGGGCCTTGCTGTGCTGCTGGACTGGGTGGAGGGGCCACATATGGTGGAGGTGGGGGAGGACATGCGTCGAGTTCAGGATCCACCCTGTGCAGTGAGGGATAGAGAGAAGAAGATTTCTGAGAAGCTTTATCTGCCTCTTTCTCATTTGGTTTATTTACTTTAGACATCTTTTTACACAATTTCTTTCTTTCCCCACTTTCAGATTCATCCTTCCACATTCTCAAACTTCTATTGTGACTTTCTATCATTTCCGTAACTTTTTTAATCTGATCTATGCTAAATGATCCTCCTTGAGGAAACCCACATTCATTAACCCATTCATTCAGATGTTGACAACTCATTTCACAATACTTTTTCTTCATGAAAATGACATTAGGCCCTTCAGGTGCAGGAACCTGGTTACTTCCCTGTGCACCCATTTTGAGGCAGTCAGTGTACACTTATACTTTAAACACAGTCGTCACCGTGAGTCACAAATATATTGTGTATATTATTTGTATAGTAACTGTTTGCCAAACTCACTTACAAGTAATTAGTGGAGGAAAAAGTAATCAGATCCTTCACTGCAGTAAAAGTACTAATACCATACTGATGAAACAATCCACGATGAGTAAAAGTCCTGCATTCAAAACCTTAGTCGAGTATGTTATAATCAGCAAGATAAAGTAGAAGTACCCTTGCAGTAAATAACCCCACGCCCCTAGGGTTCATTCTGTACACATGACATCTATTGCACTTCTGTCCATCCTGGGAGAGGGATCCCTCCTCTGTTGCTTTCCCACAGGTTTCTTCCTCTTTTCTCCCCGTTAAAGGGGTTTTTGGGGGAGTTTTTCCTGTTCCGATGCGAGGGTTCTGGGACAGAGGATGTCATACGTGTACAGATTGTAAAACCCTTTGAGGCAAATTTTTAATTCGTGATATACAAAAATAAAATAAATTTAATTTAATTTAATGGAATGTGTGTTTTAATTATGTCATGCTTGTAAATCGTTGTTGTTGAAAATTCTAAGTTGTACTCCGGTCATGTTTAATATTTTAATGTGTAAAAATACATTTTGATGTATAAATTCAGGGACGTTCACTGATGAGTTCTCATTTGCACCCAACAGCCTGAAAATATACAGTAAGTTGGCTCAACTGATTTGACATGTTGGCCCAAATATAGTGTCTATAGTCTGTTGGTCATCTAAAGAGAATAATTCAATTAAAAACACCTGAACATTACTTTCTGCAACATTTTGCTGGTTTAGTACGAGTGTAAAGTGGCTTGAGAACTTAAGGCAAGAAGGTTAATTTAATGTCACAGCACCTTTCAAACACAGCTGCAATTCAAAGTTTTATGGCAAGGAAATGCATTAGAAAGGTTAATATATCCAGCATCCAGCAGCAGAAGTGAGCAGAGGGCTGTAAAGACCCGCTGACGACATCATCAACTGTCTGAAGAGACCTGAAGCCCCGCCCACGCTGCTGCACAGAGCGCCATCGCTTGTATAGTATTAATTATCGTTAATATTATTTATTTATTCAGATGCATCGATACGAAACATATTTCTGATATCAGTCCAAAACTGACTCAAATAGCTGAATCAGCTATAGGTGACGACATGCAGATCCGGTATTGGATATCAATATTTAAATAAATAACAATTCAGTACATTTTTATCTATGTATTTATTTGTCTAATTTCGATTTTCAAAGTTAGGAAAGCAATGTTTAAGTCAAGCCTGATTTTTCCTTAGACATAAAATAATGATCATAGGAACTTCCACACAGTGAGGCATACAGTTAATTAATAACACCGGTATCAGATCGGTACTCGGTATCAGCCGATACACAAAACCCAGGTTTCATTATCAGTATAGGGACGGAAAAAGTCAGATCCTTGTATCTCTATTTATTTATTTGTATATTTCATGCATTTATTTATTACTGTGTTTATTTATACATTTATGTGTTCAAATATTGTGACGGCCCCTGTCTATAATCACTGCAAGTATGCTTTTGTCCCTCTGTCCCTAGAGAGCAGATTACCTGATGCAGAGCACCTGGTCCGGGAACAGGGAGGGCATAAAAACCCTGCTCTAGCGTTGCTCGGGGCGGGCTTTCTCTCCGGCGTACGTGGAGTGATCCCAGCCAGTTACTGCCGGTTAGTTTGGTTTTGGTTTCCTTTGGTTTCCTTTGGTTTCGCTGACAACACCCACACTTCATCCCACACGCATTCACGTTGACACTACTGATGTTATTGACTGACACACTTCAGAAAGTTAACTATTTATTTATTTAGTCAAATAAACACCTTACGTTACCATCATTTGTTGTGTCTCTGCCGTATTTGTCATGGCCTAGGAGCCGGGTTATGACAATATGTACATTTAAAAACTTAGGTATCATATACTGTGTATTTATAGACATAAAATTGTGAATCAATTAGTATAGTGGTTGATCTGCTGTTCAGAGGCAGTTTACAGAATAACAGATTCTCCAGCGCCCCAGCCAGCTGAGACATGCAGGCAGGCGGAGAGGACGTGGAGGAAAAGCATATATTTTGCGCAGATATCATATTTGACAAATATTACCGGGTGCATTCCGTATTTCAAAAACACAAATATTGACAATTTGTATAATTTATTTTAAATCTTTTGTGGCTCAAGGGGGGCGGCGCCCTCTATTGGCCAGCCGCCACTGTACGTAATATATATTAGTTTCGATGATATACATCGTCGTTTGCCAAAACATGTATTACATATTAATTAAACAACAACTTATCGCTGCGTTAGTGGAATTCTAGCAATACAAAGTTATCTATCAACTGTCTCTTTAAAACCACCGAGACGGGGTCCTTATTTGGCAGGAAGTTAGCTTGCAGCTAACAGGAAGCTAAATAACGAGGGCACATTGAGGCGCAGGAATTGGCAAAGAGCAACGAGTCCAAACATTGCTCTTTACAGTCGTTACTACTCCTTCTAATACAGGTAAAACAAACAAAGTGGTGCTTAAACGCTGTAAGTGTTTATTTGGCTGTTTTGTTGTGTGTCGGTCGTGTCGGTGGTGTGGTGTGTTTCTTCGTGGGGTTTTCGGCGCTTTGTACCGGAGCAGACATGGCTCAGTGTGCCTACCACATTACCTCCCAGCAGAGTAAAATATAACAGATTAATACAACTGTAAGAGTACGGTAAGGGTTTAACGTCACGCGCTGTCCGCGTGTTGTGTACCGCGGTTGCTCGTTGAGACTCGGGTAATTTTTATTCTGTCCGCTGCAGCTCTAATACGCTTACAGAAGCTTTGGAAACGCATGAAGGATTTGGGTTCCCCCCCCCCCCCCACACACACACACACACACACACACACACACACACACCTGGCTGTAACCTCACCTGTGATTAGCTGTAACATCGATGAGTCACGTCACAAAGGGAAGATGGATCACCCCGTCGACCATTAAGACTGGAGCCAAGAGGGACCGCCATTTATTTATTAGACTATTGATTAATCTGTGGGTTGTTATCATCATTCTCCCTCAAAGGTTGAAATGGAAAGCCTTTGTCATTGTACAGAATACAACTACATAAGGAGTGCTACTCGTGATCAGTGCTATCTTAAGATAAAGGAAAAACACCACAAAAGACAAAACAACTTTAGCAAACAAGCATCCACAGCCGTCAACACGGGTTCTAAAATAATAATCTAGAATAAATGTTATTGCACAAGATTCTGTTGATTTGACCTCGAGAGGACAGTCGTCATATTGCACGTGGGGAGCCATTCATTGTTTGTTGTTGCTGTTATAGAACATATGGGGAAGTCACATTTCTTATGCTGTAAACAACAAATATTTGGTATTTTGTTAAGGAAATAACTAGAATTGTTTATCAGCTTTTAAAGATCACCTCCATACACGTTTTAGGACATAGAAAACACTCTGCTTAAAGTAGCAAGTTGTTATTACATAGAAGAACTAAACATTTTAGATCCCCGGCTCCCTCCAGCAATGTTCAAATAAATATATATAAAAAGAATCACGCTAGTAAAATATGAGAACCTAAGACACAAAATAATGCAAAAGTTAAATATAGGTATATATGTTTTGTGGTAGACAAAGTAAATACAAAATGAATCAACAATATTGTAAAGTATCAAAACGTAAGTAAAAGTATAATAGGCAGCCCCTATTATACTTGCCTATTATAATGCCCCCGAAAAAAATGGAGCGCTTCTTCATCAGACCTGTGACTGCGAGACTGCGGTCAACTCAGCAGACACTTACATGTTAGTGCACCTATATGCTGAAATTCCCGGTAAACTCATTCAAACGGCGCAGATCGGGAGCGAGCGAAGGACTTTGAAAGTTAACGGAAAGATTAACGTGAGACAACATCCGGTTTCTTCAGACGAACATCCGGTTTTCAGAATAAGATGCCAACAAAGTATACATATTGCATAATGGAAATTAGATTAAATTAATTATATTCACATTAAGTATAAAACATGCTACCTGCATCTCGTGAGTTAAAGGGAAAATACACCTAAATTGTGCGTAAAGTGTCTTTATTCTTTGATTTGAGGGTTGCTGGAAATGAATAATACCTGAATTTCCTACCCTGATATTAGGGTAAAGTGACAATAAAAATGTAAAATCTAATATAAATATATAGTGCTGTGTAATAGTGTTTATGCACAAAAAATATTATCTTAACATTAAATCTAGTCCTCCTTTCTCATTAATAAATCCTGGAAAAATACAAACATTGTTTATTTCAAAAGTTGACTGGACACTAGATGTTTTCTCTGTGAACACGCACAGACTGGAGGCTTCAAGTTTCCACATCACACATGGTCGTCTTCTAAACCGGATGTACGGTCACTTGGTTACACGCCTGAAACTCAGGTTTAAGGGGAACTCGGATAAACTCAAACATCCAAGTGAACATTAAGCAAAACCCAATTCTGTGTGACGGGGGCTGCTTTAAAAATCCCACTGCAGCATCATCTTCATCCTCTTCATCTTCCTCCCCGCAGGAGGAAAAAGCAGTCGGCCGCCTGTGTATGAAGACAAGTCGGAGGCAGCTATGGTGAGTAAGAGGGAGGTACAAATGACTGTGAATCAAATATTGTCTGCTCTGGTGAAGTTGGGGTTCATACAGGAAGGAAGATGCCAAAGTTAAAACACAGCTGTGTTTACATAATGGGTATTAAATAAGAATATGGAAGGACAGACTGGCCTCCTCCTCACTTCATTGCTCTCCTTACCCTCCTCTTCATCTGTGTGCCAGTCTTCAGCGGTGGATCTCAAGACTAAGGAGGAGAAGGACGCGGAGTTGGACAGACGAATCGAAGCTCTGAGGAAGAAGAATGAAGCTCTGGTCAAGAGGTACCAGGTACGGAGTACTTTTACACACAAACGCACACAAAATGTATCTTTTGTGTCAACCCATCAAGTTAGTGATACTACTAGAGGACGCTAAAAGATAACTGAGGATATCGCAGACAAACCATAATGCACACGTGCATATGACTTTAATGGATGTCATATTATGTGTTAGTACCAGCGTGGCCTTCAAAAAATCAAGAAACTATCTCTGAGCTTAGTGGAAAGCTTTATTAAGAAATATATGTTTTAAACAGTTATTAAAGGTTTTCATTTTTCACTATAGAACGTTTTTTGCATTGCAAGTCCACTCCTATATAATAACAGATATTGGGTATAAGTCTTGTTCCACCACAATAAGTATTTGCATTTGTAATTGTTTTCTGGGGACAGGTGCTGATGCTGACCTTATTAAGCAGATCAGGTATCAGTCGTGATGTCAACAGGCTACAGTTAAAGGAACAGTGTGTAGCAGAAATGTATAATGACCTGAAACTAAGAATGGTTGTGTTTATGTTAGCTTAAAATGAGCCATTCATATCTACATAGGGATCGGGTCCTCTTGACTGAGTCCGCCATGTTTCTACGGTAGCCCAGAATGGACAAACTGAACACTAACATTTGAGGGACCCTTTCGCCGGTTTTCTATTGCATGAAGGCCACAGTAGTTCTCTACGTGCTTGGAAAGGAAGGAGTGAGCAGAGGAGTATTCAGTTGGATGCAATCTGCAACCTCACCACTAGATGCCACAAAATCCTACACACTGCTCCTTTTAATACAGCTTCTTTACCAGTGTCATCTAAAAAGGTTTAGAAGTCTCTCTGCCATCATTCAGTCACGGTCCCAGTAAGTTCCACACAGCGTGGAATATAGATTTTTTTATTTTTTATTTGGGGAGCACTGGTTCAGGATCGACATTTAGGATTGGCAGATGGTCTGAGGAGAGAAACCGTTGTATCGACACAACTTAAAGTATTATGAAAATAAGAATCTGCAACCTTGGTATTACTCTATATAATAATTACCATTTCTTCTACCTGACGTTATATCAAGTGTGTGGTTGGAAGTACTGCCAACATTTCACAGAATATGGTGTTGACCTCATCTAATATGTTCTTATTCCATACTAATGTATACAGTGAATAATGGTCTTAGTGTACTTGTTTTGCAATTAATATACAAAAACATCCCCATAACGTTTTACTGTCCTGAAATGATACAATATTCTGATTCATGTTGAATCAAATCCGACGCGGCCAATTAAAGGTAAATAGAAATCTAAAATGTGAGACCAGAGTTTAGATTTGGGGCCCGGCTGTAGTCTCAGCTCACTCATTCGGTCACCTGATCTCAACAGGAAATAGAGGAAGACAAAAAGAAGGCAGAGCAGGAGGGCATCGCCGTGACAACACCCCGGAAGCCCCGCCCCCATGAGCCGGAGACGGACAAGAGGAAGACGGAGAAAGAAAACTTCACTGTCACAGTCGACCTTTCTAAGCAGACGGGGGTAAGGCGTGATGTGGATCTTAATTCTTTTTCTTTTTCAATCATGGCACTTTTTCAAAGTTTTTACTCCTAATCGCACAGATGCACACAATCATCCACTGAAATAACAGTCTCACAACAGATGAGTTGTAGAAGAACCGTGACGCGTCTTTCAATCATGTGATGTTGTTTTGCCGGCTGTAGAAACGATAACCTCTTTATCTGGTTTATGATGATCCTGCAGACAGAAGACGCAGCTTATAAACTGACAGATTCTCATTACTGTGTTTATCAGTTTACCAACCAAACGCCTGCCAGTCTACCCATCATGCATCTGTCCTCTGCCCACTGCTTGTGTTGCATGTGTAGGCCAGCAGTTGCATTTTGGATTGATATATTTTCATTAATATACATAAAATCCTATCTGCAGCATACTTAAAAAAGTGCGGTAAGCGAATATAATATACACAAATATACAACATCATCAGAACCATGAATAAATTACTTAATATAAAATTAAATAAATCTGCAATAAACTGCTTAAAAAACAGCAAAAGAGGATATTCAACAAGGTGAACTATAAACAATATGATAACATAGTTAGAATAAGAATTATTACATATGTCTTTTTCATATAATAATTTTTTTTTGCTTTTACTGCCTAATGTTTGATGCAGGTAAATAAAATTGCTGCCAAAGAGGAGAAAAGTAGCCAATGAGGTCTATTTAACAGAAATATTTTTTTATAATGGGAAAATATGGATGAACAGTGGATTATTTGTCTTAGCGAAGACAACAGACGGTTTAGTTTATATTTTCAGTTCTTATCACCAAGATAAGATCTTTGAGCTGCAGGGATGTAAAAGTCCGTAAACCTGTCAGGATGAGTCATTGTGTATTTAATGGTAATGTACAGTGATCCTGTTCTATCACAGTATATGTACATTTTGATATTGATAAATAATTTAACATAGTAGTTCTGCAGGCTGAATTAAGTCATTCTACATTCAGAGAAAAAGTTAACAGATGTCAATGTCTGTTCTTGGTTAATCCGGTGATTTAAATGCACATCACATTGAGGCAAGACCCGCCTCCAGTTTTACCACGAAGTAGTCCTGCTGAGTAATTTGCCACATTGCCTGTAATAGCCCAATAAAACCAGCAATATTGTTAGCAAAACTATCAATTCTATGCTGTATGTAGAAAATATACAGTCTGGGAAAATGGCATAAAAAACAATCATGCTGTTGGCACAAAATGAAAACATGACACAGACTGAAAATACGAACAGTTAGCATCAGAGAGTTGAGAGGATTGCTTTCATCTGTTGGTCAGCCAATTTGAGATGATTGCACCTGTTATAGGAACATAATGTTGTACCAGCAGATTATATCCTGTAAAACAAGCTCTTCAATCGGTTTATCCAACTCTTCCTTTTCAGTATATGATTCAGTTCAGTCTTTTATATCTGGTATCATGTACTGCAAATAGTTTAAATGCGTCAGTGTACCAGCAGCACCATATGAACACAAGCGGATCACGTTGTGAGCTCCGTTCTCGTCAGCTTCCCTAAAAGTTTTCCTTTTTTTAAATATGGGGAGAAAAGAAGAGCAGCCGGAGTGATTTTGGCTTCACATGAAGCTATTTTTGTGCATTCTGAGAAATTATTCCTAGAAAAGAAATTTGTGTGAAAGCAATTTTTGTAACTGAAATGTTGAATGAGAAATGACAGCACTCGAACAACACATATATATTTTAACATTAGAAGCACCGTCCTTTACTTCTGTTAAACCTGCAAGAGTTGATCTTCTGTCCACTAACAACTCCTGAGGGCCATATCTGTCTCTTTAGCTGCTAAATGCTCCACTATGTCACCAGCTAGTCTCTGAAGTCTGCCTTGATCAGTTCGGTGGAATCGAACTCCAGCTCTTTTACCCTCTGGGTGCGGTTCGTTTGGGCAGGTGTGAACACAGCAGTCCCACTCTGGTCCAGGCCAAAACAACCACCACGGTTTCTGCCTGCTTGCAAACAAACTCTAGTACGGTTCAGTACGGTGTTTGTGTATGATCCGACCCAAGAGTAGGAATCATTGCGCCTTTTGGGGGGATTTAGAATTTTGTGCGTATTTTTTAGGTGGTAATTTTCCAAATGAATGGTTTGTCTAAACGGATAAATGCAGACAATGTAATAAATGATGACTAGTGCCAATATTGACCTGCGTAGTTTGTGAAATTGGACGGTGTCACATTAATCTATTTCTGAAACAGAGGAGTGTCTGCTCTTCTTTTATTCTTTGACTTCCAGGAGTTTTCTTGCATGGAAATTCTGACCAATTAGGTCACAGTTTCAACAACAGGCAACAGGGGGGCATCTGCTCCACATGTGTACCCGTCTAAATGGATATTCATTAAAGTCAAAAGGTCAAATTTGGTTCATTAGTCTGTTCAACAGACTCCTGATCCCTGAGCTTAAGCTTTGCCTTTTGTCTCCGTTTTCATCATGTTGTAGTTTTGCATAATCCACAGCCCTGATTAGTCTTTTGTACTTTTTATATGGCACCAATTCTTCAGATTGAGGAGATTGAGTGTGTTTAAATTAAGTACAGACGTTAAATTCAGGACAGGCAATACTTTTTTCCCCCCCTCCCATTGGGCAATTGGCTGCTAGATTTTCAGAACTCAGAGATTTACCACTTAATTACCAGCCAAATACCATCTAGAATAGAATATGATGGAGCAGTCGTGTGCACAGATCATTTACAGTGATTTACAACATGTTTTGGTTTAAGAGACCCGAAACAAGCTATCCTAATAATCTTCTGACCAGACAAGGATTTCTTTTATGACCCCTGAAGTTCCGGACCGCCATGTTGAGATCCCCTGCTCTACATACTGACTGAAATTATTAAAATATGGTTCTTAGTAACTTAAACCTACTGTCCATGCTGTAATTACTGTGTGTTTCCTGCAGGACAAGAGAGTCGTAAACGACTGGAAACCTGGAACGCCCCGCGGCCGGAAGACATCAGAGGAAAGCGACGGCCACAGAGGAGGTCCGAACGATGGCGGCCACAGAGGGGGTCCGAACGATGGCGGCCA